CGGAGACCGGATGATGGGTAAGTTTCCCTTGATTAGCTTTGTCCTTAGAAATTGCAGGAGGAAGATTTCCCATGCAGCGTGGAGGAGCTGGAGCTCATCTTCGATGGGCTGGATGATGCCGGCACCGGGCGATTGAGCACCGAGGAGTTCGCTGCCGGGCTCCGTAAGTGCCGGCACGCTGCCTCCGAGCAGCGTGGGCTGATCCTGGGCATGGCCCCGGTGCTTTCCCAGGGGAGACCTGAAACACTTCCCTTGCTGGGTGGCACATGATGGCCCTAAAAGCGCTTCTGTGCCCATGTCTCAGCCCATGGCTCGCCGGGTGAGGGGTTCTATCATGCCCCACCAGGTTATGAAAGCCATGGGGTGGGAAGTGCCGGGGTTTGGGCTTTGCCATCCCCCCATCCAGGTGCTGAGGGTTTGGGGTGTCTGCCGGCAGGGCAGTTCCTGAGCTCCCAAAAAGCTGCCAGGGACCACCGCCGGCGGAAAACAGCATCCCGAAGGGTCCGCTTGGTCCTCCCCAGCCCGGCGCTGGAGGGGGTGGACAGCGAGGAACAGAGACGCTTTGCCGCCTTCATGGAGCAGCTGGGCACGGACAATGTCCCTGGAGAGTAAGTCACCCCGTTGAGCACCCACGGGTGTCAGCAGGATGGGGTAGAGGCAGGAGGTCCCCATGCAGACAGCAAGCCCAGAAAAGGCTCAGAGGTGCCTTTGGCTCAAGCTCAGGAGCAAGGGACGTGATCATGGCCACCCCCATGCTCATCAGTCCCCCAGGACTGCACATCCTGAGCGGCGTGAGCTAAACGACCCAGGACCCCAGAGCTGGCCTGGTTTTGTGGGGTTCTGGGGGATGCTCACCACAAAACACCCCTCTCCCTGCAGACAGGAGGTCTGGCAGCTTTGGGTGAAGCTCCGGCAGGAGGAACCCCAACTCCTGAGCAACCTGGATGACTTTCTGGCCAAGCTGAGGCACCGCATCCAAGAAGCCAGGAGCAAGAAGGAGGCTTTGGAGGTGGCCCTGAGCAAGTGAGTCCCCCCAGGGCTGTGGGGAGGGACGGAATGGGAAGGATGGGGACAGGGATGGGACTCCCTGCTCACCCCAGCCATGGAGACACACCCAAGGAGGGAGAAACCTGAGTGCATCCAGCATCTCCATCAGTGGCCGGAGCAGAGGTTCCACTGGGAGCCAACATTTGGGGTTGGGCTCCCTCTACAGCCGCGTGCGGGATGGCAAAAGTGCCGGACACGGACTGCTGGATGCGTCCCTGCTGGGTGACCACCTCCAGGCAAACCCGGCTGCAGCCTGCGGGTCCCGTGGGCAATGTGGGGTCCCAGGGACCTGCCCCCACTGCAGCAGGGCCTGACCACCCCCCTGGCCTCGCTGTCCCTGGCAGGCGCATAGCTGAGCATGACAAGGAGGTGCAGCAGCTCTGCAAGGCCCTGGAGCAGCAGATCCAAGAGGGGAAGCAGCGGCTGGAGCAGGAGGTGGGTCACCAGCTGCTCCTCTCCCCTGGCCACCCACCCTGCGAGGGGACCCAGCATCCCCAGCTCCCAGATGGGCGAGGAGGTGCTAACGGCCTTGTTGCCATCCCAGAGCGTGTCCTGGAGCCAGCAGCACGGCTGGGAGCTGCAGCAAGCGCTGGATGCCAGCGAGAGGGAGGTGCAGCGCTTGGTCACAGCGCAGAAGGAGGTGAGCTGGCCCTGACCCCCAGCCCCACCTCCTGCATCCCTACCAGCAACACGGTGTTGTACAGCTGATCCCGCTCAGTCCCCACCAGCCCTTGATGCAGATTGTCACACAGGACCTCCATCCCCACCTTTGCCATCCCCATCCCTGCGCTCCCCTCCATCCCCAGAGGACACAAATGGAGTTTCCCACCCACCATCCTGGGTAGGGGAAAGCTCATCCCCAGATCCAGAGATGAGCATCATAACTTCCTCGCACGGGGCGAGGTGTGAGCATCCCGGTTGCCGTCCCACAGCTGGAGACGCGGTGCCACAGCCTGCGCAGCACGCAGCAAGCTCCCAGCACGGAAAACCGGCAGCTGGAGGAGAGGAACCAGGTGCTGGAGGACCAGCTGCAGCAGCCCCTCCACCGGCAGCTCCAGCAGACCCGCGAGTGCCTGCAGTCGGCGAGGGCCGCGGTGGCTCGGGAGCGGGCAGAGGAGACCGGGTGAGTAGCTGAGTGACCATCATCTCCCTCTGCACGTGGGTGGCTTCCTCCTGGGGGTTGCGGTGGATGAGGGATGAGTTTGAGGGATCTCAGCCATGGCTGTGCTTCAGCGGTCTCCACGGTGCGGACTAATTGTGGTTTGGTGTGGAAAGGATAAGACAAAAGGCACCAAGCACGTCCCTGTAGGGCAGTGCCAGCGAGATGGGGACATCCTTCCCCCTGAAGGACTGATCCAAGGGCTGTGGGTTTTGCTGTCCTGCTCCAGTGCATCGCTGCCTCTGGGGCTGGGGACAACGCTGGGGCAGGGATTGACACAGGGAAGCAGATGGAATTGCCATTTTGACCCCTCTGCTCTGTGTTCGCAGGGGCAGAGCGGTGGTGGAGGTGCCCAGCGCGATGCCCATGTCCCCGCAGGTACTTCAGCTGGGGGGTGTGGGAATGGGATGGGGTGTCCGTGCTCCAGGGCAGTGTGTGGTTCGGTTTGGGACTGCTGGGGACCCAGAGAGCACAGGGTGCTTCTGCAGCAGAGGCCATGCCTCCCTTGAGAGCTGAGTCGGCACGGTGCCGTGCAGATGCTTGGGAAGGGCAGGACTAGCTGCACCTTAGTTCTGGTACCCCCAAAATTTTGGGTCTGGATACCTCCGCATCATTTCAGGTGGATAAGTTCCCTCACCAAGCGCTTTTCTCTCCCCTCTTCCCACCCCGTTTACTGCAGATGAGCCCGGAGAAGAGCGAGAAGTACCACTCTGAGATGCAGATCAGGCTGGGGTCCCAGGGCGGCGAACCCAAAGCCAAGAGCACCCACCAAGTGTAAGGGGTCCTGGGCAACCGCTCTGCTTCAGCTTGTGCCCCTGAGGTCTGGGAGTTGATACCGAATGCCCAAGTCCTCCACCCTCCCCAGGCAAAACACAATATTTAGTCCTTTTCGTCCACCCATCTCATCCCAGAGATCAGATCCCTTACCCCAGCTCGTCACCCTGCATCACCCCCTTGGCTCAGGCACTGGCTGTATCTGCCCAAACGTTGTCTTTTCACCCCCGATAACGTCACCGTGGAGCCCGGGAAGAGGCACACTCGCCTGCCGGGCAGGGTACGGCCCCAGGTCTGGCTCCCTGGGTCTGCACCCCCTTTCTCCTGTCCCCTTCGCTGCCTGTGTGGTCCTCCAGTACACCCAGAGGGTAAATGAAACTGGGTTTGGAGAGGGATGGGGGGAGGTGATAGGCCAGAGACCCCCTGGTACTGGCCCAGGTGGATGAGGGGAGCTGGAGCCTGATCTGGGGACTGGGCTTACTCCCATTTTCTGCCCTTTCCAGGGTTTGGGAAGTGCTTCCAGCAGAACTCAGCCTTACGGGAGCCCCACCAAGAGTGAGCCCCGTGGAAGAGGATCCCTTCCCAGAATTTCTGAAAGAGCAACACTTCTCTGACAAAAGCTCCTTGCTAAGAGAGATGAATGAAGCAATATTTGCCCTCAGCAAACAGCTGAAGCCACAGGCACCGGGTGCACCCCCCATGCCAGCAGGCACTGCCCATCACTCCCGGGATGATGCTGAGCCCCAGGTGGGGCCGGAGGCAGCTGCAGCCCATGGCACAACCCCCGGAGTCCTGCGAGAGACCCTCCCCAGCCCTGCTGATCACAAGCTGTTTGCAGGGGACCTGAAAGAGGGACCGGCCGCAGCTGAGCTTCGTGCACCCGGCGTGACACAGGCTGGTGCGTCTGTGGGAGCTGGGCACCGCAGGGCTCAGGAGCCGGGGACAGAGCAGGGAGAGAGCCCGGAGGAGGCCAGCAGGATGCTGTTGCTGCAGGGAAAAGGTGCTGGCGTGAAGGAGCCGATGCTAAGGGCGGCTGAGCATATGCAAGGAGCAGTGGGAGAGAGCACGGAGGCAGGAGAGCAGGCGCTGGTGGAGGTGGAGGGAGAAGGATGGATGCAGGAAAAAACAGACTGGGAAAAAACACAGCCCCCAGGAGAAACTGAGGAAGTGGCATTATGCCAGGGAGAAAATCTGGAGGCAGGTTTGGGGCCACCTGAGGCTGGAGAGGCAGGTCTGAGCATATGCAAGGAGCAGTGGGAGAGAGCACGGAGGCAGGAGAGCAGGCGCTGGTGGAGGTGGAGGGAGAAGGATGGATGCAGGAAAAAACAGACTGGGAAAAAACACAGCCCCCAGGAGAAACTGAGGAAGTGGCATTATGCCAGGGAGAAAATCTGGAGGCAGGTTTGGGGCCACCTGAGGCTGGAGAGGCAGGTCTCACGGCGGGATGGCAGCTCAGCACA